AAACATATACGAATGGAGTGAAATCCCTGTAGATCAACAATTTTGTTAAAATTACAGAAGTTCAACTATGATATCTCACGAAAATATCACAATCGTTCAATACTCAGAACGCAAGAAAATTTTTAATATCCAAATTGATTTATGTTTTGGTTGCAATATGTTTTATATGATATTTATGTAGTATGTATTTTCAATATTTTATATAAGCACAGTACAAATAAAGTTTGTATTGATAATCAATTATCACTAAGAAATTAATATTAACTATTATTTTGCTATTGTATAATAATTTTGATAGCACAAATATTATAAATTTTTAAAATATAATTTATCCTTTAATACTTAAATCGGTTTAAATATAGTAAGAGGAAAAGTGTGGATATTCAAAAAAAATTTTTAATGAGAAAATATTAAGAAAGTCTTCAAGCAATGTGTTCTAAAAAACTTCATCTCTAATTATTTCGGAGGCTAGACAGCTGCTGCAATCGTGGATTAAATGAGCCGATTTTATGTTTGTTCCTCGATCGTTCGTTCAATACAGGTTGGTGGCTGTACGTCGCTGCATAATCCACACGGAGTTATGTAGATCCAGGGCTTATCGCTCTAGGATTTCCATTCTGTCTCATTATTAATTTCCATGCGTTAAGCAGCCGGAGCGAGGATTAGTTGGGAGCGTCGTTATACGAGCTGTTGGAACTTCCTACCGCATTTGCGCATGAGTCTATTGATTTCGAGAAATAGTTATTCTTTGTCAAGTATATATATATATATATAATACACACACATATATATATATATATATATATATACATAAAAATTAATTGCGTAATTGTTATTTCAGTTTCAACGTCAAAAAAAAAATTTTATAAGTTTTCTTATTAATCATCTTAAAATATTCCTACGTGACTTCTTTAAAGATATTATTGTCTCTTATTTCTTAAAAAAAACATGTCATATTTTTCTATCTTTTGCATACAAAATAGATAAAACTTATTTGATATACACACAAATATAAATATATGTATATAATAAATCAAAATTTTAAATCTATTATAAACTTTTAGTGGAATTTCGTTTTTTGGATTAAAAAACTATATTGATACATTATGACATTGATTCTATTATTAAAAAGTAAATAAATTTTATTTCCTTTTATGTAGAAGATACATTTCTTAAGTATAAGAAACAATAATATTTGTAAAGAAGAGGTCATATATGAATATTTTAGAATAATTAAAGAAAATCTTATAAAACGATAAAATTTTTTTTACGTTAAAACTGAAATTACAACTATGCTGTTAGTTTTTCCAAGACTTTATCTCGTACGTTTTAACTATCATCAAACATATATTACACAATGATGTGATTCGTGCAAATAATATTATTTTAATTTCTTGTTCAAATCAAGCAAATCAATATGATAAATCTATAATTTGTATACTTGAAGAGAAATGTAATTTGAATGCTGTTGCGTCACGATAAAGTCAAAGTCAAAGAGTTCCTTGCGATTTCGCGAGCATTTCTTAAGATGCAAATTTGGTCTGTCGTGAGTAGTCCATTTCGCTCGATGTGTAACGAGTGTGCACACAGAGCGCTTGACTTTTCGCTTTTCGCTGCACATCACCGCATCCTCGTCGTTGTGAAACGAGCGTATGTATAGGGTTTGCCTATCTTCTGTCAAAGTATAAAAAGAAGCATAGACAAATATATTTTTGCAGTCAACATTATCTTATTTCCAAAATATATAACAATAAATCGATAAATAGCTCTTAAATAATCTTATATTTTAAAAGACGCATTTTTATGGCCTTCAAACAAACTATAAAGCTAAACTATAAAGTTAAAACTATAAAATTGCTGAATATTTTTGACAAAATTACTATGTTATTAAAATACATGTTTGATTTAGCTTTTTTTTTTAAATTTAAATTTGACAAAATAATAATATTACGAAGAGCACATGAAAGGCGCTTGTACTCTTTCAAGCTTATATGAAAGTTCGTATAAGAATGTTCCATATATTTTGTACTTGTAACATGCCATGTATTACATGTAAGGTATATTTCATATCATAGTCACATAAGAATAGGATAAAAGCAGGCAAAATGTGCAAAAAGAAGATAGGTGCCGAAATTTTATGCTGATCTCAGTGACACAGAAATCGTGAATCTTGTAGTATTTTTTTTAGAAATAAAATGGTTACGGAAAAATCTCGATTAAAATGGTAAAGTTTAGAGGGCAAATATCAATTATTTTTTTTTAATTAAAATTTGTATGCAAGAATCCATGATATTAAAATATATAAATTCAGTGACTTCTGAACAGAGAAAATTTAAAATAACAAAATATAAAATAGCAAATATATAAGTCTCAAGCGGCTTTAAATAAAAGAGTTATTAAGTTTAGCGTGCATAACATTATGATAATAAAATAAAAATAAAAATTATTTTGAAATTGCCAAATTTTTTTATTATAAGGAAAAGGGTGATTAGTACTGATTAGTAATTAATTTAAAAAATTGTATTATAATAATTGAATAATTTAAAAGGTATAAAATTTCAGATATAAAATTTTGTAGGATATATACATATATACATAGATACATACATATATGTAGAAAGATATCTATTTATTTTACAAAACTTTAGTTTCGAGTGATTTCTTAAATAATATGCATATATATA